AAACTAGCCGGGCGACGTGGCCGGCGCCTGTAGTCCCAGCTACTCGGGAGGTTGAGGCAGGAGAATGGCCTAAACCCGGGAGGCGGAGCTTGCAGTGAGCCGAGATCGCACCACTCACTCCAACCTGGGCTACAGAGCAAGACTCCGTCTCAAAAAAATAAATAAATAAATAAATAAACACATAAAAGGAGAGTTTCTTTTAGAAGTTTCAAGTTTTTTCGATTCCTAAGTCTGCCTGGCTGTCTATGCTCTTGTGACAGGGCCAAGTTAAACAGAGACTTACAAATAACAGTGATAGAGCACGCTATGTTTAAATCTGAGGCATATACATCTATACTTTGAAATGAAATAAGTACATTTCCAGAAACATTCTCTCTTCCAAATGGGTTACTTCCCTAAATATATGCTTTCTCTCTTTTAATGTTATTTTTCTTAAATTCACTGATGCAATCGGCCAGAATAAGGAATTCTCACTTGAAAGTTAAGAAATGTCAGTAAACCACAGAATAAAGTTTGCAATATCCCATAACTTGACAGATATGAGCATCAACATTCTTAGAGAACCAACAGTGAAGTTTTAATGTAGACAATTATATCGGCTATTTTTTATGGGCCAGTATCTACATCATGGGGACCTTCAGGAAACAAACAAACAAACAAAAAAAACAAACAAAAAACGGCTTTATTTATAACAGTATCTGTAGCACCGTGGCTGGTATAGAGTATGTACTAAACCACTGTCCTCTTTAATAAGGAATTGGTCCTTTCTTGGACAAAAAGAAAATGAACAAACTTGCTTTTGCTTTGCAATGAAATGCTATTGGTGGTACTGAAGAAAACTGAGACACTAGATTTACTACATACTTTTTTTTCCGTATCTATCTACCATGAAAAATGCTTTCGAGTGTTTGATTTACAGTTGGAAATGTCCTCCAAAGCAATCTTTTCTAAAATTGTGAAGTTCAGTTGCATTCATCAATAATTCCATGTAGCCATCTTAATACCATCCCTTCCTGTTTTCTCCATCCCTACTCTGCTCTATTTCTGATGCATGGGGTTTGGTTTCCTTGTTTCAGAGTTCCCCCGGGATTAGTGTCCTTTCTAAATAATAAGCCTGGATGTTCATATTGTCTCCCTTTACCTTCTGCTAGGTAACTTTCATAGACCAGAGTGTTGAGGTTAAGTGTTGGTCCAAATCCTTCCATCTGTTCAACAGCTGTTCAAATGGGAAGGCAGCCCAGTAGGCAGATGTCTCCCATCCTTAGAACAATGAAGACATTTTATTGGGTATTTGATATGGTTTGTATCTGTGTCCTCACTCAGATCTCATGTTGAATTGTAATCCTTAATGTTGGAAGTAGGACATGGTGGGTGGTGATTGGCTCATGAGGGAAGATTTCTGATGAATAGTTTACTACCATCCTCTTGTTGATGTCCTTGTGATGGTGAGTGAGTTGGTGAGATATAATTGTTTAAAATTGTGTGGCACCTTCCTCCTCTCTCTTCTTCCTGCTCTGACCATGTGACATGCCTGCTCCTCCTTTGTCTTCTGCCATGACTTTAAAATTCTTGAGGTTTCCCAGAAGCTGAGCAGATGCCAGCATCGTGCTTCTTCTATGGCTTGTAGAACCATAAGTCAATTAAACATTTTTTCTTTATAAATTACCTAGTCTCAAGTATTTATGGCAATGCCAAAATGGACTAATGCAGGATTCCTCCTCAATCTTAACAGTTCTTTTCTACCTGATAATTACAAAGCACCAGAAATAAAATAACAAGTTGTCTGTAGTACCTTGCTTTAAAGTTTCAATTCATCAGTCTTATTGTTGGCTTAGCTGAAAGAGTGAAGGGTCATATGAATGCTCTACACAGTGGTAAGATTTAATGAGGATTTTTTTTTCATTTTTAACAAGAGGATATTATTGGAACTTCCATTACACAGAGCAGGGGGCCATGAAAAAGGTCTGGGCTTTGTGGTCAGTAAGCCCAAATTTTCCCTCTTTCCTAGGGTGTTTTAATTTGGTTAATGATATTAATAGTTACAACATTTCTGCTAAGACTTCAACCAGAAGACTGATCTCATTCAGATATGGAGCTCAAATTTATATTTCTTCACTGTTCAGAAAAAAAAAAGGTGAGAAATTAAAATTGTCCTAAGTTGGTAGTACCTCCTGGCACCTGGCAGAAGTTAAAAAAAAATCTTATTTTGAGGAAAGTGTCTCGATTTTTGATCCTTAGAGTTGTCACAAATTAATTGCAATCAGTATGAACAAACACACATGCACACATGCACACACACACACACACACACACACACAGAGCATAAGGAAACAAGCTACCACAGGAAAAAAATCTAGAAAACAGCTAGTAACAGACTGGGACCCCCACAGACTTCAGATGTTGGAATTATCAGAGACAAAATGTCCAATAACTATTAATGAAATGCCTAAATACATAAAAAGATGGAAACGAACAAAAGAATGGAGACAACAAGTTATCTTTTTTAACAGTCACGCTTCAAAAAGAGTAAAATATTATTTTTAGAAATGAAAGATAAAATCAATGAGAAATGATTCATTGAACGGGATTAGGCATAAATAAGGAGAGGACTAGTGAATGTGATGATAAAGCCAAATGAATTGCCCAGAATGCAAGATGTTATATCAAAGAATGAAAACTACAAGAAGACTGTAAGAAATATGATGATAGAATTAGCAAGTCTAAGTTCATATAATTTAGATATAAAAGAATTGAGTAGATAGAATAGGAGGAAGTAAGATTTGATATTTTGAGAATTTTTAAGAACTGATGAATGGATACGTATGAATAATAAATATGAATTGGATGCGTAGATACATATAACATAATGAACAGGAAACATAAAAATATCACGTAAGATACTTTAAAAAGAAATCTACAAGCAGACACCTGATGACAAAATGGCAAAACATCAAAGAAAAAGGGATGATTTTAAATCAACTTGTAGGTGGTAGGCACGGAGGTGGTCAGAGTACCTACAAAAGCAGGACAGATGGACAGCTGACTTCTTGGTAGCAACCAGGGGAGCCAGGAAACAAGAGGACACTGATGTGCCAGTGAATCTCTGAAACCGGCTCTTCAGTAGGAAGAGGTAGGGAAAGTCCTGGCTTTTAGCCTTTCTGATATCCACAGTGTAAACCCTCCTACTACAGCTGATTTCAAGCTGGCATCCTGCCACCATTGAAGGATGCAGAGTTGGGGAGAGACGTGTATACCTGACTTTTACAGGTATATGGGCTCCATAACACTTCCATCTTATAGGTACACTGGCTCCATAACACCTCTGACTAATTTCTCCACATCTGAGAGAAAATATTCTTCAATATTGAATTAAAGATCTGGCAAAATTGTCTTCCAAGATTAAAGGTAAAATACAAACCTTTTGTTCAGGGAAAAAAAAATCTATCTATCTATCTATCTATCTATCTATCTATCTATCTATCTATCTATCTATCTATCTCTCTATCTATCTATTGAAGGAAACACAGAAAAGAATTCAAAAGAATTTAGTTCAAAAGAAGAAAATAAAGTCTGGCAGAAAATAGAAAAGTCTGAGATGAAGAAATGAGGAATATATAAACTAGTGTCTATATTAATATATCAAAAATAAGCAGTATCTAAAAACATAAAAATGAGTATTATTAGGAGGGGGAATGGAATCAGAAATAAATGAAACTCAATCTGGGATCAGTGTTGATTGGTTCTTCCAACTGCTATTTGGGGAACTAAAATGGACATTTTTTTGACCCTACTGCAGCTAGGTTTCTGGATCAACATTACATCTGGAAATTATAAACCCTCTATGAAGCTTGAGGGCTGTAGCAGGAATCATTTTTCTGCCTTTTCAGCTCTATCTACCGGCAAGCAAAAGCAGGGGCGTGTGCTGCCTTCTTCACAACCATTTTTCAGAGACCTCCTCCTTCTACTTATGAATTTGCATACAGTCTGGGGCACGGGAAGTCGTTCCAAAAGACCCCACAAAGAACTCACACTGTAAGTATACACTTTTGTAAGCAACTAACTTACTGTTTTAAATGTATTTCTGCTTACAGTGCCTTGAGTTATTAATGTTTTCTGTACTGTACTGTGATAGAGAGAGAGAGAGTCAGGAAGAATATGATGGAATCACAGGAAAAGTTGGATATATAGGAAAGAGGGTAGCAGAAACAAGTTCAATTGTACAAGTAGCTCCATAATGTAAAAGGACCTACATTTGCCATTATAAAAAAAAATGGATGGGCAGATTGGGTATAAAAATAAAATCTAGTGGTATGTTCTTCACAAGATCACCTACAAAGCTGAAAGAAAAGGAAAAATTGAAAGAAAAAGAATAAGAAAAGAGGCCAGGCAAATACTAAGTTAAGTGAGACTGTAATAGGAATATTAATAATGGGCAAAATAAATTTAAGAATTGAAAGACATTACTAAAGTTTAAAAAGATCACTTAAGTGTGACGAAATGTTCACTTCATCAGGTAGATTAAAAATTTCCATCTTGCATGCATGTAACGAATACTTTCATCATATATAAAGTGAAAATTGACAGAACTTCCAGTAGAAAAAGAGAAGATTCACTATTATAGTAGGAAATTACAATGCCTTTAAAATTTTTGATGAACTGTTGAGTTGTTCCAATCCTTAATTTATGCACTCATACATTTAAGTTAAAATTAAGTAAAACTTAAAAATATATTTTAAAATTAAGTACACATTTAAGTATTCTGCTAAATTACTTTAATATTTTACCTCTTGGAAATTTTTATAAAATAAGATAGAAATGCAGTGCCTATTTCTGCCACAGATACATCTTGGCATTTTCTGAACCAGAAATCTTGCTTTCAGATCTCAGATATGACGGGAGCAAAAGGCTGCAGACTTGAATCCTTAAACACCCTAATGAAAATTATGTATTCATTTATTTTAATAAAGCCCACTGGAAAGGTATGAACTAGAACAACATACCTGTGACTTTGCCCAGGGTGAGTGACCTTATAACCCTGAACTCTACTTCTGGAGAGAAGTTATAACTGAGTCGAAGTTGATGGTCCATCTGCAGGAAAACAGAAAACAAAAGCACATCAGCACAGGTCTGCAAGTAAGAAGCATAAAATGATCCCATCTGGAAATAGCTTGAAACAACGCACACAGAGAGCAGATCCCCCTCTGAGATTTCCTCTCCAGAGAGATTAGACAGGTCTCGCTAATTCTCCCACAATGCACATAAAATACCCCTTGCTTTCTTCTTTGTGAAATAAGGGTTTTCACACAAGTCTTCTCCCTGGGAAACTGTATATAGCGTTTTACAGGTATTTATCTCCCCATGGAGATTTTCTCACCAAATTCTTTGCTGCAAACAAGCAAACAAATGAAACCTGCTCAGGAACTTGCTGTGCAAGATTAACATTCATAGGAGGCAGGAACTCATTTTCCATTTCTCCCCCTTTCTCTCAGTTTGTCCTTAGGGCCACCACTGCCTCCATTGTTCCATAATTCTAACCTGGTCTCATTTAGGTGTGGGCAGAGAGCTTTTCCTGGGCAAGGATTGCAGTTCGACAAGACATGTGGCCCTGGGGAGGAGAGGGTAGCTGAACAGTTAGTTGCAACCAACATAGACGGTTGATAATCCCATCTTGCAGGGGTGAGCAAAAGCCACCACCGGGACTTTAATAGGACTTTATTTCTATGACCATCCTTTAGAGATCCCTCCTTACTTCACCCATTGCTAATTCCAGCTCCATCTGTTTGGTCCCCTCCCCATTCCTAGGAGACCTCCCCATTCATTCTCACTTTTTCAGGCTAGCCATATCCTACTGGTTTCTTCCAGGCTCTACTCTGACTATGCATATGGTGCTATTCCTGGAAAGGATCCTCATTATTTTTCAGTTCACCTGTAAGAAGAGGAGACTAAGATCCCATTGGTCATGTGCCTAACTTTGCACAGCTTGGGTGCAACCCACCGGAGATTCATACATAGTCCTCCCATCTTCCTTGCCATGACTTTCCTTTGGCATGGCTGCTCAGAATGACCCTCCTCTGTTCTCAGACAACTTACATTCTAGAGGAGAGAGCTAGGACAGAAAATTTGATAAGTAAATACATTGTATTGGAACTTAAGTGCTGAGAGAAAAAAAAATGCAGGCAAGGATAAGAGGGAGTGTAGGGTTGAAGTCAAGGAAATAGACTGTTCTATTAAATAAGCTGATCAGACACGGCCTCAATGAGAATGACCTCTTGAATCATTTGAGTCCAGAAGGAAGTACAAGAACTGGACATGTATATACATAAAGAATAGCATTCTAGGCAAAGCAGTGAGTCCAAGGGCTCTGCAAATAGCAAGGAGGCCAGAGTGGCACAGCTAACGTTCCAGAGGGCATATAATTAGATGAGGTTAGTGAAGCAACCAGAAAGGGAGCAGGGGTGTCAGATCATGGAGATCCTTATAAGCCACTGGAAGACCTTTGACTTTTTCTATGTAAGAGAAAGGAAACCATTGACAGGGTTTGGACAGAAGAATGCCAGAGTCTGACTATTCCTTCACCAGGATCACTCTGACTGCTGTGTTGAGGATAGACAGCTGGGGAACCTAAAGAGGAGCAGGGAGATGTCAATCAAAAGGCAACTGTAAACAGTGATAATCCAAGCAAAAGACAAGGGTGGCTTGCGGAAAGGTAGCTGCTATTGATCCACGAGAAGAGGCATGTAAGAGAAAGAGAGATGAAAGGAGAACACCACAATTTTGAGATTGTGTACTTGAAAAATGAAGCTGCCACTAACTGGGATATGCTTTTGGGGATGAGGTCATTGTTTCAGGGGAGCTTCCTAATAAGTCAATTTTAACTATTTACTTAAATATTCCGATGCCTAACAGACATTCCTATAGATATGCCCAGTAGGTTGTTGGTATAAGGTCTGGAATCCAGGGACAGGATTAGTGTTAGATACACATTCAGGACTGATTAATTGGCATGTACATGAAATTTAAAGATGTGAGATTGAATGAGATGAGTATGGAGTGAGTGTAGATCAAAAGCAGAAGTTGGAGTCCTTGGGTGTTCTGATGGCTAGAGTTTTGAGAGATGATGGGAAACCAACAAAAGAGACAAGAGGGAGCAACTAACACAGGCAAAAGGATCAACAGGCGAGAGTTGTATCCTGCAAGCAATAAAGACTCAGGTCAATTGCAAGAACAGGAAGGAATCCTGACGTCAGTTGCCAGTGAGAGGAGAAGGAAAGATAACACTGAGACATGACCACCAGATTTTGCAAGGTAAGCACACTGATGCCTTAAGAAGTACAATTTTGCTGAAGCACAGAGACAAAACCTTTTCAAGTGTGGGTATAAGAAAAAGGTAGGGAAAATTTGAAGAACAAACATATCAACAACATTTCCAAAAATATGGGCAAGAAAATGACAAAGAGAATGGAACACTATAAGAAGTCAGATAAGAGAAAGGTTTCCTCTCTTTATCCAGAGATATGCTGGCTTGTTTGCTTGTTTAGCTATTGTCATTGTATACTAGTTCTTAAGGCATGTAATAATTATTTGTTTTATGCTTTGGGGAGTCATTCAGTAGAGCTGGAACAAATGATGAAACAGAGGGAGGAAGGAGAATTCTGGAGTGACTTTCTTCAGTAGGATATCAGATCTGGCCCACAGGTAGTCAGGTCAGGCCTTAGCTAGAACCATGAACTATTACGGAGGAAGAGAGAGTGCAAACACAGATGTGGTAGGTATGTAACGTGCTCTTGAGAATGTGTGGATATTCTCTTCTGAATGTTACATTTTTACAAGAAATAAGAAAGCAAAGTCATCTGCTGAGAGTAAAGACAAACTGGCAATTGTTAGCAGTATAAGTAAAGAGGAGAGAGTGTAAAATGGTCAACCAGGAGAACAGGAGAACAGACAGACTGAAAAACATGGAGTGATCGCTGGGCAGATGCAAGGGCTTGCTGAGGGTCATGATTCTAAAGGGGATGATCTGGGCTCTGTCTATTCTCTGTTGAGCTCTGCCATCATCTGCTGCTGGCCCTTCATATGGAGCTCACTGAGATCTCATGGGGTGCCTCCCACACAACATGCTTTCAGACAGCTTTAGCCTGCGCTCACACGGACCCTCTTCCTGAGCACTCTCCTCCATGTGGCCAACTTCTACTCATCTTCAAGACTCAGCTTACTCCTAACTTGCCCCAGGGAGTAAGTACTGATACCCAGGTGGGATCAGCGCCCTCTTCAGTATCACCTGTGCATTCTTCCTCCACAACCCTTCCCACAGTCTGTGATGATTTCCTCTTTGCCCATGCATCTTCCTCACTGTAATGCAGCCCAGGGGTTGGCAAACCTGAGCAGACATTAGTATCACCTGCTGCTTTCCCCTCTTCCATAGCCTCCAATTTAGTAGATCTGGTGTGGAACCCAAGAATCTGCATTTCTATTTGTTTGCTTGTTTGTTTGTTTGTTTTTTGAGTTGGAGTCACTCTCTCTCCCAGGCTGGAGTGCAGTGGCGGGATCTCTGCTCACTGCAACCTCCACCTCCTGGGTTCAAGCGATTCTCCTACCTCAGCCTCCCCAGTAGCTGGGATTACAGGTGTGTGCCACCACACCTGGCTAATTTTTGTATTTTTAGTAGAGACAGGGTTTTGCCATGTTGGCCAGGCTGGTCTTGAACTCCTGACCTTGTGATCCACCTGCCTCATCCTCCCAAAGTGCTGGGATTACAGGCGTGAGACACCACACTTGGCCCAAGAACCTGCACTTCTAACAGAGTCCCAAGTGATGCTGATACTTGTGGGACATGGGAAGCACATCTTGAGAACCACTATCCTAGTTCTTCCAAGTCTGGGGGCAAGTGTGATTTGTAACTATGTTTCCAGCACTAGGCACTACACTGGTATCGGGTAGAAGCTTAGAAAAGTTTGATAGAGTAGCCAAGGCACATTGGCTGATACAGGAGAAAGTAAGGAAGGTACCTGAATGGTAAGCTCTCTTCCCTCTCGGTTAATCTTCAAGTGGTGCATCCTTCTGTTAGCAAAGTTATCTGCATCAATGGTGAATACATGGGTTTCTTCCTTGTTTAGGTGATAGCGAACCTGTAAGCTTCCTTGAAAGAAAAAATATTAGAAATTAGAATTTAAAGCAGCACCTATAAAATGCAAAGACATGATCAGATTGTCTTTTAATTGATTATCAGGGCCCCAGGTCTTAATCCTTCCATTATTCAATTTTTAAAAATACATTACGTATGTTTATCAGGGTCCCCACAGAAAATTCTGAGGAGAGCTGCAAAATTAACGAGAGAGAGAGAGAGAGAGAGAGAGAGAGAGAGAAAGAGAAAGAGAGAGTGTGTGGTGTTATCGCAAACCAAAATGACAGTTTAGAAAATAAAACATCTATTTGGTAATTGGATCATGAAACTTTAATAAGGTAGAGTTAAGATCTTTTCTACTTTCTCTTCAATTCCTACCACTTCCTATAACTCTCTTTCTTCCTAATTGCTGTCTCCCTTTTATATCTAAGGACTGGAAAGAGAACTCAGTCCTGTTATCACCCATTGATGTATAACGCTCATGATGGGAGTGTGGCCAGGTTAGGGCCAGGTTAGGGTACCCTGCCTCACTTTAACCCTTTAGGGTCCTTTAACCCTCTTAACCCTTTACAGCCCATTAGAACGTTCAAATTTTATTAGGATTGTGTTTTTCAAACAGCTGTTAGCTATTCCTTGTTGGTTAGGAAATCCATTTACTGGGTCTCAATCAGCATTTCTTACAAAAAGGAGCAGAATTTAGCTATATGAGACTCCCAGGAGACATATTAAAAATGAAGTGTATCATTTGTGTGTGTATGTGTGTGTGCGTGTGTGTGTGTGAGAGAGAGAGAGAGAGAGAGAGAGAATATTAGCTCACAAAGCAAAACAGTCACTTGGGAGAGATTTGTTAAGGGACACAAAATTACAGCTAGATGGGAGGAATAAGTTCTAGTGTTCTATGGCACTGTAGGATGACTAGAGTTAACAAAAGTATATTGTATATTGTTTCAGATAGCTAGAAGGAGAATATTAAATGTTCCCAAAACAAACGATAAATGTGTGAGATGATGAGATGATGGATGTGCTAACTACCCTCATCTGATCACTATATATATGTGTGTGTGTGTGTGTGTGTGTGTGTGTGTGTGTGTGTGTGTAAACATTGCTATGTACCATATAAATATATACAAGTATTATATGTCAATTAAAAATAAACTTCAAAAAAATGTTTGAAAGACACTCTATATTTAAAAATTGCCATAGGGGCAATAAGTTGTTGAGCGGTTACTTTATCTCAGATACTGCGCACTTTTTCTCATTTGATCCTTTCCCCAGCGTCACTGGCTGTGAGTTGAGCCAAGTGGCCAAACTACACGCTGCTTGCTGTGCTTTTCTGTCTGTAGGCATCATCTGGTTGGGAGTCACTGGAGTCCCACACACAAAATGGCAGGAGCTCTTCCCTTGGACATATATGGGAACGGAAAATAATTGGAATTGAGTCATAAGCTGATGGCCACTGGGGAGAAAGGAATGTCTGCTAAAATTTGAGCTGAGAACAGCTGAAGTAACTCTTTCTCATCCCCTCAAAGTTTCTCATATCCACCCCCCCGCAAAAAAAAGAAAAAAAGAAAAAACCTCCCTGAACGTCCTCAGCCTTCCCATCTTTCCCAGGCTGCCAATCCCAGTAAGGCAGGAGCGTTGTGAGTAACCACCATGTCCCTGACTGATCCCCAGTCCTCACCCAAGTATTTGAATACTTTTGTGGGAAGAGGGCAGGGACTGTTTCAAACATAAGTTGCTACACATAGAATTTCAGAATACGTGCATGTGATACAAATGCTTGTAAAATAACATAGGGAAGAATAGAAAAAATGTAGTTTGGGGCTATGAGGTCATTGCCTAACACAGTGGGCCAGAAGGAGAAGCTCTCTATACCTGATACTGGTTTTCCTGGTTCATTCTCTCTCTGTGGTTCTGACCATTGCAGATTTCCGGATATTATTATTTTTGCTATTTTACTACTTAGAAAGTAATGGCTGCTCCTAACAGCAACATATTTTGTGCAGACAGGAGCTGTTGGGGTCGGGTCACTGTGCAGATCATGGGCAAGTTACCCCTCCTGCCTGTGGCAGGGAAAGGGCCACCTCATGCACTAGTGGGCTGCTGGGCAGCGTGCTCCTCCACACTTTTCTAATTCTAAGAATCTGTGTGTCTTAACATTTAATTTGACCTCATAGAACAAACCAGTGTGCAATAATTATGTGCCAGGCATAATGATCAACCCCACATTCCTTAAGGCTGTCGAACTCTCTTAACATCTCACTGTTCTGGTAATTCATATTCACACACACACACATACATTCTTTACATATTTTTCCATTTTTGATAACACTCTCATTTTATACATGTTTACTGGCATCCCTCTTGACACCATTCCTCTTAGGGACTAGTAATCTCAGCAGTGATCCTATCTACTAAAGTGTTCTGAAGCTTCCCCCAATAGCCAAGTTTGTGCTAAAACAAACAAATGAAAAACAAACAAAATACCTCAACTAGTTCTTCCAAAGTCTTACAAATACTTCTCTCGCCTTCTTAGGAGTTTTGATGCAATCAATGCCTCTTAAAGTATCCCTCCACCCGCTAATGTGATGTTCTGAAACCTCCCACTAACTAATTTTCACGTGACTCTTGGGGAACTCACTCCGTGACTTTTCAAAGTAAGTTTGACACCATGAAAGGCTAATTCCCGGAAGGGATGGGGGTCAGAGCTGGGGGCTCATTATCACCTCCCTGAGCATCTTCTTTAGTGGCTTGGTTAGGGAGCTACGAGGCATTTCTACCTCTCCAGTTGTGCACTCCAGTGGTTCAGACCACCATCAGCTTCTTGCCTGGCATTGCCATGTCTGCTTGTCTCTGGAGAATCCTGGGCCCAGAGTTATTCTCGCTGTCCTCAGGCCTTCCTCTACCCCCTCTGCTTGCGTCATCTGTGAGCTTCCATTTCCTCCCTGGAGTTTTCTGTCCCCATCCCCTTTCGTTAGGTTGACAGCAATGATAGACATTGCAAGTTTATAATTCCACAGACAGTGAATGGACAGAGGGAAGGTGCTGTCCCTAAGTCTAATAAAGCAAAGAATGAATTGAATGTTCTGGCCATGAGTGTGATGCAATTTCTCTGACACACTGTAATGCATTTATTTTCCATTTGGTATCATTTTCTTGTTGTTTATATATTAACATTGCTACACCATAAAGGACACACATCATTTTTTGTGCATATAAACAGAGATAAGATGTTCACAACGTGGAAATCAACAATAAAACAGATTTGAGCCTTAGCTTAAAATAAAACTTAGTCTAAAGATAAAACTGGACTGGGTGCAGAGGCTCACGCCTGTAATCCCAGCACTTTGGGAGGCCGAGGTGGGCAGATCACCTGAGGTCAGGAGTTCGAGACCAGCCTGGCCAACATGGTGAAACCCCATCTCTACAGAAAATACAAAAATTAGTTGGGCATGGTGGCACATGCCTGTAATCCCAGCTACTTGGGAGACTGAGGCAGGAGAATCGCTTGAACCTGGGAGGTAGAGGTTGCAGTGAGTGGAGGTTGTGCCACTGCCCTACAGCCTGGGTGAAAGAGCAAGATTCTGTCTCAAAAACTAATAATAATAAAATAAAATAAATAAAAATAAAACTAATTTGAGCTTTAGTTGCTTCCGGAACAAACATATGTGTAAAGAAATAAACTTTTGTCACTAGCAAGTACCCTATAAAAGTTTTAAAGGTCCTATCAATGTTGGAGCACTCGAGTTAGATCTAGCTGCTGCCTGCTCTGCTTCTTCTTCTTCTTTCTTCTTCTTTCTTCTCTTCTCTCTTCTTCTTCTTCTTCTTCTCTTCTTCCTCTTCTTCCTCTTTCCTCCTCTCCTCCTCCCTCCACCCTCATATTCAGCGCAAAATCATCATCATTTTTTATTTTATTTATTTTTGAGATGGGTTCTCTGCTGTCCCGGGCTAGTGGAGTGCAGTGGTGCAATCTTGCTCACTGCAACCTCCGCTCCTGGGTTCAAGTGATCCTCCTGCCTCAGCTTCTCAAGTAGCTGGGTTACAGGCTTGCACCATACACCAGCTATCTTTTTTTTTTTTTTTTTGTTTTTTAGTAGGATGGGGTTTTATCATCTTGGTGAGGCTGGTCTTGAACTCTTGACCTCCAGGATAACTCTGCCCTCTTCAGCTCCCAAAGTGCTGTGTTTACCAGACGTCTGAGCCCCACTGCCTGGTCGCATCATTATTTTTTAGAAATAAACAACAGTATTCTGAATGATTGTTTTTCTTAGAAATTGGAAAAACATATCATATACTATATTATTATTTTTTTTTTTTTTTGTGTTGTTGTTGGTTGTTGTGTGTTGTTGAGACAGAGTCTGCGCTCTGTTGCCCAGGCTGGAGTGCGTGGCGCTGATCTCGGCTCACTGCAAGGTCTCCGGCCTCCCGGTTCCACGCCATTCTCCTGCCTCACGCCCCGAGTTACTGGGACACAGGGCCCGCCACCATGCCGCGTACATTTTTTAGTATTTTCAGTAGAGACGGCGGTTTCACCGGTGTTAGCCAGGATGGTTCGCTCCTCCTGACGTTAGTGATCCTCCGTCTCGGCCTCCACAAGTAGTACTTAAACACATGATAAGATCCTCTTACGGTGAACCACTGTCTCTATACAAAAATACAAACCCGTAGCCGGTCGGACGGTGGCGGGCGCCTGTAGTCGCCAGCTTCCTCGGAGGCTGAGGCGGAGATGGGTGAACCGGGAGGCGGAGCTTGCAGTGGCTGGATCCGGCCACTGATCTCCCAGCCTGGGTGGCAGCAGGAGACTCCCTCTCAAAAAAAAAAAAAAGAATCCTCTTTAAAAAGCCGATGGTTTATCACACCCTGATAAGATCCCTTTTCACTTACTAGACATCGTTACACTCCTTGGCTTAGCACAGGTATTCCATCATGGTTGAGCACCTACTCAACACTCCACTTTCATCTGGAATGCTTTTTCTCTTTAATTTTCTTCATTTTACTGGTGAAAAAACAGAGCT